AATTTACTACTGGGCACAAGTCCTTTAGTTGCGACGGAGGGGCCCTAACTTAATTAATTTTCACTAAGCGCCTTGAGGGCCATTAATGTTATTGAAATGTGCAAATTAATACATTATTTATTGTTAATTTATCATAAGTATTTGTTAATTATGAAGCTCTAGCTGGGAAAAGAACTTGCCATGTATCTGAAGGTGAATACCCTCCCCAAAATAATTCCTTATGTTTTAATAAGACTGCATTAGAAGCAATTTCATCAATAATGTAAGATCCAATTACTGGTCGTCTAGATTAAGGCATTATTCTTTTATTGGGAGATTTTAGTGCTAGAACGGGAAGTTTGAACATTGCCACTGAAATCTCAGACTAATGAAATGGCTGTAGCCTAAGGGGAGGGGCAGGCAAGACCACTGCTAGTCTTCCTGAGAGTGGCCTCTGTGTGTGATGAACAGACGGAGATATGCACCTTAGTTCAAAAGAAAAACTGTGAGGAGGTGTTTGGAAAAAAATCAGTTCAACTTTTGCATAAAAAAGGAAGATTAGTATCTCTTTATGAAGCCCTTCTCAGCTTTTTGCAAAAGAAGGACTTATTTAAGACTACATGATGGATTGAACCATGTGAAGTGTGCTAAGCATTCCCTTATTCAATTATTTAGAGGTAGCAAAAAAGCCAGTGCCAGCTATCATCACCAGCGCTTTACGAGCATGTGCCATATGCCAGACATTCTTCCAGGCTTGTCTTATTCTCATATGACACATGAGGAAATGGAGGCACAGAGAGGTTAATAGCCCAAGCAATGAGTGGCAGAGTGAGGGACGTTCCACAGCCTCTCCTCTTGATCACTCACCATTAACCCCCACTCTCTGGACTTCTTTATTCTCCATCATCCTCCTCACCTGCCTGTAGGGAGCTAACAGTGGTTCTCAGCCGTAGGGCAGGGGCAGAAATCGAAGACGGAGCAGTGATATTAAGGTCCTCATCCTCCAGGAAGGACTTTCTGTTTCACAGTGTATTAAAATGGGACTTTCTACCTAGAAGTTGGGGGCAGTGGTTTCTCAGGGTTTTAAGAAGCTGTTTAGTGGTCTCCCAGACGTCTCCCCCCAGCCGGCGGCTGTCTACTCCCTTCACGCCAGTTTCATGCCCAAGGGAGCGATGGTGGCATAACTCCTTTAAATCTTGAGTCTTGGAGTGTGTGTCCATTCCCTTCATGACGCTGTGTTTTCGGGCGGTGGGGAGAAGTGGACGTGTCTGAGGATTGGTGGGATCGGAAGGCATGACCCTGAAATTTCCCTCTGCTCTGTGTGGGGAAGGCCTCCGGGACCAAGGGGAGCCAAGCCTTCCTTTGGGAACAGATGAATCTTCAAAAGTGCTATCACATCTTGAAATAAATTATTTCAGTGATGTTTCTTTATGAGGTCTTTATTTTAAGGGAAAATGTGATACATGGAACTTGAAGAATATTTTTATTATACCACCGTGAAAGTAATTTTTATTATGTAAGATCCTTCTTTAAGCACCCTGGATAACAGTTGTATCATTTGTTTCAAGAAGTTTGTGTATGTCAAGTTCATGTTTCTGATGGAAAGATAAGTTTGTCTGGATCTTAGAGAATATGGTCACTGGACACAGAAGTGAAGGTTAAAAAGTGAAACCTGGCTACTCAAGTTCAGATTTGTCCCTTGGCATTTGCAACTAAGGTAAGCTGGCCTGGAAATCTTTGAACTCATTAGTTCTATAGATGCTCAAAATGAGACAAGCAAATGCTCAAATGTGGACGAAGTTCCTGCCCCGCCCCCCAAGACTGATAGCATGTGGCATTCATAGATCACTCTCTCAGACAATTGCTTACAATCAGCCACGGCCGGTATCACATCAGCTACAGATGAAAATGGGAAGAGTCATCATCCTTTGGGATGACTGCAATGGGATAGACTGAGGTTTTAGTTTTGATTAATTACTTTATCCCTTCAAAGAGAACTCTACTTTTAGTGGGAGGCTAAAAAAAATATGATTTGTGTAAACGGGCTACAAGTAGACAGTGAGTCTTCCTATTGTGAGAATTGCAGAATTTCCCATGCAATGTCAACCTAGGCTGGAACTGGCAAGGGTAGGAGTAGGGGCGAGGGGTGGAATGAGACAATGTGTTGTACTCCTTACAGTCTTTACGCGGTAGGGTACTTTATTCTAAGTATTTTGTTGGAATTTAGTGCTGATACCTATCAATTGGCATAATAATTTGTCCTACAACCAGTAACCTTGACCTTCTGTCAGAAGCCCTCAGACACACAAAATGGGAATTGTTGTCAAGGTCCGTGTCAGAGTCCTCTCTCACTTGGAAATTCAATGCTCTGGAAGTCCTTGTAAGGACTTCCCTGAGTTTGTATTTTCCTCTCTAAGATGAGTCTCTCTTCCGCTGCTACATCCCTTTACTCCCCAGGAATAAATAGAACATTTTTTCCCAAGTCTGAAAACCCCTGAGTCCACATTCACAGCCTAAGACTCAAGCGCTCTTTTTGCCTTTGTTTTTACCACGTACTACGTCTGGTAGAGCTGAGTTGTGATTTTGGCCAACATCATTTGGTGCTTCTGGTTTGTAGCTTCTATTTATATAAAGTGAACTAATTGCTGGCACTATTAATCCTGCAAAATGCATGAATCCTAAATGTTCAGTTTGCTTAGAATGAGTAAAAATGTATTTATTCCTTCTCATATATGGCTTCTTGCTGAGCCCTAGATGAGCTCCTTCAGATAACATGCTTCATGTCTGGGATGATTCACTCACTTTCATGTTCCCTGGAATTTATTGCTAAAAGTTGACATGAACACTTATAGTCTGGGCTCCAATATAATCTCCTGGATGGCAATTAATAAATAAAAGATGGTTACTATTGTTGACGTGGAAACTAAGCTTTCTCAGATAGTTTTCATCTTCATGTTTTCACCAAACTTCATGACAGACATCAGCAGGCATTGATGGTGTAAGATATTTTCTGTAAACTCCAAAGCTGTTACTGTTGCTTCAATACCCCAAACCTCTCTGTTGCCTTTTGTTTCCTTGTCAGAAATGATCTTATTCAATTTCTGTTTCTTCAGCTTACCTTCTTTCCTGAGAATAGAAGCAATATGCCTCTTTCTGGCTTTAGTATTAACATATTCTCATTGTCTATGACTTGCAGGTAGCACCTGAAATTTGTCCCTGAAATTTCTTGCAATATTTTTTTTTTACTTTGTCTCATCTCTGTTGCATTTACTGGAGATACACTGTCACCTATAAAATGCAATGTCTATTGTCATCATGCATATTGTTCAAAGTACAAAATTGCCTCCTGTAAGTTAATGATGAAACTATAAAACAACATCCAATTTTTGTAGTTTGCCTGCTTGACGAGGCTCGAGACTAATCTAGACAAGTGCTCTTATTTTGGAGATGAGGAATCTGTAGCCACTTTGAGTAGCTTGCCCACATTCAAGTGGAGGACAGAGGCCAAGTACACCTTCAACCAGTACAGCACAGAAAAGCCGGAGGTAGGCTGCCTGAGGACAGTTCCCAGTTCTGACGCGTATTAAGTGTGTAACTGTAGACCACTCTGTGCCTCAGTTTCCTCATTTGTGAAATTGGGCTGTCAATAGTGGCAGAGGCACAACTGTAAGATTATAGTGAGTTAATATAGGTGAGGCACTTACAACAGGACAAAGTGTGCCAGGCATTGTTAGCTATTAGCATTTTTGTCATTATTCTATTTTTCACATATTCTGAACATATGGACTGGTGTGTCTTGTTATTTCAGTTTGCGTGTATACGTGCATTACACCCTCTATGTACTTCTTCTGTGTTCCTTGCATTACCTAATACTGTGTTGGCAGCTACTGGGAGTGTCCGTGGCAGTGGCAGTTAGTAGGAGCGAAAATAGCGAGGGCAGTAAGAAAGAGCGCTGTGCATTCAGCCTTACTGTGTGCTGGCCACTGAAGTGGGCACTTTACCTACATAAGCCTCAACATGTGCTCAATCCTTGTGTATTGAAAAGCTTCAAAGTAGTTTATTTCCAGAAAAACAAGTATAGCCTTTTCATGGCAATAATCTCCTTCGTAACTGGAGAGGATCCTGAACTTTGGCCCTGGTGGAAAAGAGCCCTGACAGAATTCCTTCTCTCTTTAAAATGCCCCTCATGCTGCTGCTATTTATATAGCCTAATCCTGTTACAGACAACCGGGAGCCTGGCCGTGGGTGGGAACGGAGGTCAGGGCAGAGGTGACAGGAGGCAGGTACAGGGCGAGACAAACAGTGCAAGTGAAAAATATTATATGTCAGAACGCAAGTTGTTAAAATTCACTTAGGTGTCACTTTTTTTCTTTTTGGACTTTTATGTCATGTGGAATGTTGCCCCTTTTCTAGATACTCAAATGGAAATACATTTGGAATGATAAGCATCGACACAGAAAAGTTGTTTTCTTTCTTGCCTTTCTTTCTTTATCTATTGACTAAATAAATTGCATTAACCATACGTTAATAACCACTAGAGTAAGGGAGAGTGTTTAATCACAAAAATTACAATCATTTCAGTGTTCTTTGGTTTCCATGTATAGTATGTTACTTAATATCCATAAGAACAGTGGTGGAAACAATAAAAGCTACAATGTACAGTATTGCTTGGGATGGGAACTGTGGGAGAAGCACATGGTTAGTCAGGTGCTCTGTGTGTGTGTGCGTGTGCGTGTGCATGTGCATGTATACACACATGCATATTCATTTCTACATATGATGTATATTATCATTTTAAATATTACCACAACTTTATGGAAAAGGAAACTAAGGCTCAAAGAAATCAACCCACTTGCTCAAAGTCACAAAAAGTGGCAAAGTTGGGGTTTAATGCCGAGTCCAACCCTCCTAATGCCCCCTTTTTGAAGGTGCACAAGCAGAAATATTTTGGAACAACAGAGCTTTCCGCTATACCACTTTGCCTCGTTAGAGGAAGGTCACCTTTGCCCTTTCTTTTCCAGAATCTCCGAGCAAAGATTTCGGTCCGACTCTGGGTTTGAAGAAGTCCAGTTCCTTGGAGAGCCTGCAGACGGCGGTGGCTGAGGTCAGGAAGAACGAGCTGCCGTTCCACAGGCCCCGGCCGCACATGGTTCGTGGCCGCGGCTGCAACGAGAGCTTCCGAGCGGCCATTGACAAATCCTACGACGGGCCCGAGGAGTCGGAAGCTGGTAGGACAGTGTGCTTCCTTAAACGGTCCCTTCATCTCATTGTTGTCTGCGAATCATAGGCAAGAATGTGTGCTTAACCACAGAGAAAAATGATTTGAGGGTCACAATTATATTTTTGATATTAAAAGTAATTCATTTTCCTGATATGTTTTGCCCTTTGGCTTAATGAACACAGAATTGGATAATGCAATACGCAATTTATTTTACAGTGCAAATGCTAAAGAAATGTTCTCCTTCACTTTCCTACGAGGACCCACTGTCATTCACCCCTGGGGAGGCGCACTTAGTTTGCACTCCTTACATTCTTGTTGGACTCGTTGGAAGCAGCGTAGAGCTGAGGACTGATGGCCTTTGTTGGGCAAGAGCACTGGGTTATATTTATACTCAAAGACCTTGCCTCGAAATCAGCTCCCCAGTTAGTCTGCCCACACATGGGTGTTCACAGCAGTGAGTGCCTTCCCACCTATCAGACCTTTCATACTTTCAGCTGCACAACCATCGTCCCCACTCCCAACGTCACACCTTGCTTGAAGTCACCAGATTTAGGTTGTTGTCTCTTCAAAGGGTACCAGTAGCCACATGGCAGGATAGGACGCCAGAGTGCTTCTCTCCATCCCTCTGCATTTTACATCTTAACTCTTCTCTAGATACCAGCACTCGGTGCCTCTGACCATGTGCATCAATTTTCTCTCTGTGCAGATGGTCTGTCTGATAAGAGCTCTCACTCCGGCCAAGGAGCTGTGAATTGTGACTCTGCTCCTCAGGGCCACTCTGAGATAGAGGACGTGGAAAATAAAGCCAGGAAGGTCAAGAAGCCCAAAGAGAAGGAGAAGAAGAAAGAAAAGGGCAAACTGAAGGTCAAGGAGAAAAAGCAGAAAGAGGACAGTGAAGATCCAGACAGGAAGATGAAGAGGAAGGGACTGGGCGCCATGCTGAGGTAGGGACCTTCTGCGAAGGACCTTCTGGTTTGTTTTGTTGTTTCTCCTGGTGAAATCCCCCGTTTGTGTGCACTCGGAAAACAATGTAAGCTTTCGCTCGCCTTCAGCTACGTGCGTGCACGTCTAAGGTGTGAGTGTGATTTTCCTTTTCCGCAGAGGCAGAAGGAGCCGTCTTGGGTGGCTCCTGAAGCTCGTGGTGGTGACAGGGAGCTGTCGCAAATCTGTTGTCAAAGAAAGGCAAACGCTTGGTGGAGGCGTGGGCAGTGCCCGCAGCCCTGGGTACCAGAGTGTTGTGTGGGTACAGGAAATGCTCCTCCATCAGCACAGGGGCCACGAGAGGCAAGAAAGTCCTAAGTGGTACCTCTAAAACACCCCCTCTGAGTTAGAGAAGACGGTGGAGGTGGACCACCCCCAGCCCGTGATTCTAGGCATGTGTGTGGCCAGGCCTGTGGGTGCAGAAGTCGTCACCGACAGGCTCTGTGGTGCAGTGGAGATGTCACTGCTGCTGGAGTCAGAGGCCCCAGTCTGAATCCATGGCCCTCCGCACACCAGCTCCTGGCCTTCTCTTATGGGGCTTCACTTCCCTGAGCCTGACTTTCCTCAGTTTCCAGATGAGGCCAGCCTTCCTGCTCCCTCATCACCAGACAGGGGGACGGGTTTCACACCCACTCCATCCATTGACTGGGCGTGGCTCCTCAGCACAATCTGGAAACAACTTTATTTCTTCTCCTACAGCTGCCTTCAAATGTGCTCTGTTGATGCTGTCAAGGTGTCCACAATTTGATGATCTCAGTCCTCCAGCAGATGGCTTTCTGGTCACTTTGTCAGGGTCTAAAACGTCCCCTCAAATGTTAATCAACACTTTCCTCCTCCCCACCCCTCAGACTTCAAATCCCAGGAGAGCCCTGGGTGTGCTGGCAGGAATCCACCTTCTGCTTCTCAGGCTCTGGAACCGGGGAGGAAGGAGGGGTGTTATTACGCAGGATGGAGTTTTAAGTCACTGGCTGTATCCGGCATGACCTGGCCGTCAGGGGCCCTTTGTGAACCACTTTTGTGGGGTTTCAAGGGACTCCTTACTGCACCAATCACTGATGCGGGGGAGTCATCCTCCCACTGACTTCCGGAGACCTCTGACCTTAGCCTCTGACCTCAGAAAGCACAGCACTGGAGTCTCCGTGCTCCAGCTGGTAGGCTTCTTGGACGTGTCTGTTTGAGATGGCCTTAGCCTAACGTCCTCAACAGCATCTACATGGCTCACTAGAATGACTGATCCCTCGTCCCTCCAAATGACACTGTTCCCTTTCCTCCTCAGCCTGCCATGGCGATGCCCCAACTGGCCCAGCTTCTCCGGGGTTCTCCAGGGTGGTCAACCACCAGCTTCGCACCTCCCCAGCTCTAGGGCGATATGCCAAAGTCTCCCAAGAACACTCGTGTGCAAGGGGAAGGGAGAGGGTCAGTAAATGTCTGCAAGTCGCCAAGCAGACGGGTGGGAAGTGAGTGACAGTCTCGTTTCATACAAGCGCCTTCAGATTCTCTGAGGGGTTTTCTTGTGGCCTTCTCACTTACTTGGTTGGGGGCGGGAGGGGGAAGCACCCTTTTCCAGTACTTTCTTTACTCCTATAATTTCCCATCACGGAAAATCTCTCAATCTCTACTCTTCTCTTCCATGGGCTGAAGGTGAGGGTTGGGAGGTGATAGTTGTTGGACCAGTTTGGCCACCTCTTATCAGACCCTAAGGAGATAGCTCTCTTAAGAATGCTGGGTGGTGGTTGTCATCAGTTTTGGATCTTCAACTGAAATTTCAGACAGAAATGGAAAGTTCTATTCCATATCTGTTATTCATATATATATTCATATTCCTATATGTAATATATGTATTTTTCTATATATAATATTTAGTGTATTTATATATTTATACATAATATATAAATATTTATATATAATATATAATGTGTTTATATATCATATATAATATAAATAAATATATATATATTTGTAATAATATAAAAGAACCTTGAAACTTCACAGTGACACTTAGGGGACACAAATAATGCTGACACCAGTAGACAAATCTCTCGATGGATGTTGGTTTGTTTTTCTTGGTGGTTTCTCTGGACTCTGTCTTTCCATTTGGCATTTTGAATGTTCAACTTGCCCTTTTTCCAGGTGATTGTTATGATTGCCAGGCCCACGAGGTAAGCATCCTGATAATAGTGACACCTGCAGTATATTTAGGGGGACTCACCTTGAAGTTACAGAGTTAAGAAGTTAAAAGAGCATGTGGACTTCTGAGTTCAATCCCGGCTCCTCCACTTTCTATCTAGGTGATACTGGGCAAGCTATTGAATCTCTTTGTGCCTCGGTTTCCTCATCTGAAAAATGGGAATAATAATAGAATCTACCATTATTATGAGAATTATTTTTGTTTATTACACGTAATATGCTTAGAACAGTGCCTGGCAAGTAGTAAACATTCGATAAATGTTACTTATTGTGGTAAGCAGAGTAATGGCCCCCTAAAGATGTCCACGTCCCAACCCCTGGTACCTGCAACTGTTGTGTTGCACGGCAAAGGAGACCTAAGGTTGCTCATCAGCTGACCTTAAGATAAGGTACCTATCCTGGATTTTCCCCAGTGGGCCCAGTGTAATGACAAAAGGCCTTAACAGTGGAAGAGGACGATGTGACTGTGGAAGAAACGTACAGAGAGATGTAATTCAGTAGGTCCCCCTTATCTGTGGTTTGGTCTCCGTGGTTTCAGTTGGCCTCAAACCACAGTTTGAAATTATTAAATGGAACATTCCAGAAATAAACAATTCATAAGTTTTATATTGCGTGTCATTCTGAGTAGCCTGATGAAATCTCGGGCCGTCCTGCTCCATCCCTTACAGGACGTGACTCATCTCCCTGTCCGGCAGGTCCACGCTGTGTGTACCACTGCCTGTTAGTCTCTTAGTGGCCACCTAGGTATCGCAGTCCTTGTGTTCAAGTAACTCTTATTTTACTTAATAACGGCCCAAAAGCGTGAGTGTAGTGAGGCTGGCAATCCAGATACTCCAAAGAAAAGCCATCAAGTGCTTCCTTTAAGTGAAAAGAACATAGCACATCCGGAGGTCAGTACTATCCATGGTTTCAGGCATCCCCTGGGGGTTTTGGAACGCATGCCCTGCAGATAAAGGGGGACTACTGTGAGTTGCTGGCTTTGAGATAGAAGGAGGCAGCCATGAGCCAAGGAATGTGGGCAGCCTCTAGAAGGCGGAAAGGTCACAGAAATGGATTCTCTCTGGGGTCTCCAGAGAGGAATGCAGCCTACCTGCCCCATCATTTCAGCCCATTCTGTTGGTTCATCCCCGAAGTTTGTGGTAATTTTTTACAGCATAATAGCAAACTAATATAGTTATTATCATTATTATTATTACTACTTTTACAACATCATAGTAATCTATAAGGAAAAAGTTCCTCTTTAAGGTGTTAAAGAAAAAAACTATAGAGATTTAACTAGAGTAGTCTATAAATATAAAAACTGTTAGAGCTTCGTATGTCCCATTTTCTAGAATATTACTAAATTGAGCATTACCTTTGTATTTGGTCTGGCGGGTTCATGCTCTGTTGCTCCCAGTACAGAGCCAGCTCTTCCTTGTTGCCCAGTATCCGCTGTATTTTCCTCTGGTTCAGATCACGGGTCCTAGACCCTTTAGACATCTAGCAGCTCACGTTTTGTTTCCTTCTACTCTTTTAGCAAAATTAATCTGAAAGATAGGGTTTGATTTTATCTCTGGTGTAAAAATAGCAACTGTTTTCCATAGCCTTTTGCATCTGAGTTTGTGAGCATATTGGAGTCACTGCCACATGCACATTTTCAACAACAAAGAACACAAAAGCTGGTGCCATTAGCCAACAGATTTTGCTTTAATTCTCATCTGTTGCTCAGATGCTATTGACTTAGTTTCTTTCTTATCGAAAAAAGATTGATTGCTTAAACGTTCTCTAAGAGTTAGATGTGTGATTTAAATATGTATTACTTTTCCCATTACCTGCATTTCACCGAAGCGCTCCTGAACACAGGGCTCCAGTGTAGGTCGTGCAGTCGTCCATGAACGATGGCCAGAGGCATGCGTGGGGGCCGGAATTCCGCCTCCCACTCCCCACCGAGCCAGGCACCACGAAGCGCCGCGGCGTTAGCAGTGGCTTGCTCTCGCTTGTAAAAAGCTAAGTGCTGTGTGCTTTTCTGATATTAGCTGGTCTGTTCATGTTGATGATATGTAGTGGTACAGTTTAGTCTGTTAATTTAACCTGCTCCTGATCCTTTTGAAAAAATTATAGGGAATCTCATTAATTCATATCTTTCTATGTGTTGTCTGGTTCCAGTATACTTATAATTTACTGATTTCAGAATCACCTCCTTACACATTCACCCATGGCTCATACTCAGGCCATGAATTATTGTGGAAAAATATGCAGCTCAAGAACCCAGAGACTTTTGGTGTTTTCCTTGCATTCCCTGTTTTCTTGCTGTTGGAAGGAAGCGTTAGAGCGTCGAAAGCTGCTTCAATCTTCCCTTTGTGTGTTTGGCTCCCTTTGCATTGGGTGCTTCATGGCACACCCTGCAGAAGGACCACCTGTGGCTCCTTGCTGCAAAAGGGTGAAGCTCAAACCCCATCCTAGACAAGCGCATTGCCATCAGCCCTGAGCCACCTTCCTGGGGTCGAGCAGAGGTTTTCTAAGCACTAAAGAGAAATATCCTTTAGCTAAGAAAATCTTGCCCTGCCTAAAGTGGAAAACCCAGAAATCCGTTCCTGATTTCTTAATTATTTTATAGCCTTGTCAATCCTTACATTCTTTAAACTGGATTCTGTCGCAGATTTGTGTTTACAACCCATGCCTTTATATCAAAGCTGCTGTTGTCTCCTCTTGGTATTACAGGCCACTTGCTTCAGAAACCTTTAAGTTGTCAACTTGTTCTGGACCCTGAGTGGAAAGGCTTGATGTTGATCAAGTA